GATTCAGCCTGTTGAAACTGATCAGCGGCTGATTCCAGGAAGCCCGGGGCAGAGCAACTCTGCCTCGGGCTTCCTGTAGTCAGCTACTGGTCAGTTTCAGCAGCAGCTGAATCTGGACACCAGTTCTGACTTACATACAGATTCAACTTAAGAACAAAGCTACAGTCCTTATCTTGTACGTAACCCGGGGACTGCCTGTATACCTCAAATACAGTTGTAAGTTTCAACTGCTGCAGAAGTGACACCCCACCGGGAACATATTACACATGACCCAGGAGACTGCTATGGTGTCATTCAAGGTGTTGGTTCTAGTCTAAAATGTCTTAGTGATTTGAGTTCTGAATAAGCTAAAGACCAACTCTCTCTTCACATACTAAAAGATTTGCGAGTACAGTGTTTCTTTTTATAGGCCTGGGGTGGACAAAGTGTCTTCTGACAACGACTGCAGAAGAGAAGCACTGAGAAGGGCATTTTCTGCTATCATTTTTCTGAGGAGGAATATTTTTTCTTCTACTCTTGTCCATGTCTTGAAGCTTCACTGAGGGCTTGTCTATAATGCCATTTTACTGTACTGTAACTTTCTGTCATGTAGTTTGATTTATTTTAGATCCGAGGGAAACGAGGACACTCCAGAGAGACTTAACCACTTCCTTACTTATTGCAAGCCTTCAAGCCGTTAATATAGTCCTTTAAGTTTTACAAGCCTTAAAAACAATTACTACACAGTTTAAACCTTAAATACTATAAATTTTGAAAGCAATTAGTACAATATAAAACAATACAAAAGCAATTAATAGAAGATATATAATACAATAATTAAATCTAGTTCACTTACACTTCACCCGTTTGCCACCTACAGTAGCAGGCAAGGGGTTTGTGGTCCCTTTGACTCCCATGCATTGGGACCCCATGCACTGCCACAGCTGGTGTGAACGGTCTTTTACTTCAAGTTACAACAAGCACTACCTATGGGTCAATCCTGCTCACTACCTCCCTGATGGGGCAGGCAAGATGGGCAGGTGGTGTGTGCCCTCTGCGATTCGGTGGCCTCAGGATCCCACCTCAGCCAGCGGATGAGTACCAGCTATCCTGAGGGAAACTTAAGTGGAAACCAGCTACTAGATAGTTCAATTAGTCTTTTGCCCCATACCCAGGTCGGATGACCAATTTGCACGTCAGAACTGCTACAGACCTCCACCAGAGTTTGTTCTGGCTTTGCCCTGCCCAGGCATAGTTCACCATCTTTTGGGTCCTTGCACATATGCTCCTGCTCCATTATGTGGGTTAAAATTAACTGTAATGACAATAATGGGTAATTCAGGGATCTGCTCATGGATACTGGAGCAGAAATGACAGTACTAGAGGGACACACTTATACCCGAGATGCCAGATGATTGAATCTGAAGGGGATCATGTGGGGAGGAGTGACTGGAATCCTCTGGCCAGTAAAATTGCAATTAGAACATAGAGAGGAGGTTGCCAGAGAGGTAGTAATAGCCCCTGCCCTGGGAATATACTGGGAATTATGTACTGGCAGGAAAAGAATGGACTCTTAATGGGAAAACCTGGGCTTTTGGAAAAGCTATTGCCAGTAATTACAGCAGTCCCACAGCTAAACCAATTGGAGGGAGTATATCAGGACAAAGGAAATGTGTATGGGCATATAAAGAGAAGCCCTCTCTTTATTCCTCCTCCCAAGAAAAATGTGCAGGTAAAACAGTATAAAGTGGCCCCAGATGCTAAGGGAGGAATCCAAGCTATTCTTGATGAGCTAGAGAGGGAAGGAATTGTTACAAAGCAGTCGGTAGAATATAACAGCCCTATCTGGCCGGTGCAAAAACCAGACGGTACCTGGATTTTAGAAGCAAACCCAGCCGCTAAACGCCACAGTTCCATATATTAAAGAGATTACTGACAGCATAGAGTGTGCTAGTGTCCAATAGATGGCAGTGACAGACATAGCTAAAGCATTTTTTGCTATTCCCTTACATGAAAAAAAATCATGGGGACAATTTGGAATCCAGTGGGGACAAGGGCAGTAGGTATTTATCCAGCTGCCGCTGGGGTGGGTGTATAGCCCTACGTTGTGCCATGGTAGGAACTAGCTGGTGCAGCTCTCCCATATGGGGTAAAAATGTAGCATTATGTAGCTGACATTATGATTGGTGGGGACACTTCGAAACAGGTTTATGTGGCAGGTCAGGCTATTTTGTCACACCTAATGCACAATGGCTTTAGGTTTAAGGACAGTAATACCCAGGGATCTGCGCAGGAAGTTACAATCTTAAGCATTCTATGGCCCAGCAGCAGATGTGTAATCCTAAATGCTGTTGTTGATAAAATCCTAAACTGTCAGGCACCATCCACTAAGCAGGAACTACAGAAGTTTTTCAGAGCTATTGGGATTTGGAGAAATCATATGCAAAATGCAGCCCATCTAACTAAACCCGTGACAGGTAATGAAGAAAAATGAGTTTGAATGGGGAAAACAAACAAGAGGAAGCTTTTAGCCTAAAATTAACTATTGCCAAACAAATTGCTTTAGGATTGCTTTAACAGGAGGGATCAAGCTGATGCTATAGTGTACAGTAGTTAAATGGAAACAAGTCTGTATTAGAGCTAATGGCAAAAGACTTCCAGAGTGTGGCAAGGGATTCCATTGGGATTTTGGAGTCGGGTCTGGAAAGGTAGTGAGGAAAATTAAACACCCCTGGAAAAACAGGCACTAGCTACCTATGAGTCAGTCAGCACAGTGGAGGGACTGGGTAAGCTGTCCCCACTACCTTACTCGTAACTAGAAGTACCTGTTTATTACCGGCAACCAAACTGTGGACGCCTCTACATGTGGGGAAAGAAAGAGGCTGTGATCTCCCATCTGACAATCGT